AATCGGCCTCGTAGCTCAGGCCGTAGGCTGGCCTGACCACTTAGGTCAATTGGTGTTGGCTTCGGAGCAACTTGCAGCATGGTACAGCATACATAAAGAGCTTTATAATAAAGGTCCTGTGAGTAAGCACAACATGGCAGAGACCTTGTGGTGGTTTGAATGAGATCGGCCCCCATGGACACTTACATTTGAATGCTTGGTTCCCAGTTGGTAGAACTATTCGGGAAGGATTAGGAGGTGTGGCCTTATTGTAGGAGGTATGTCACTGGGGGTGGGGGTGGGGGGCTTTGAGGTTTCAGAAGCCCACACCGTTCCCAGTTACCACTCTCTCTCTTTCTCTCTCATGCCTGTGGATCATGTGTGAGCTTTCAGCTACTGATCCAGTGCCATGCCTGCCTGCCTGCCGCCACGCTCCCTGCCGCGATAGTCATGGCCTCCCATGAGGCTCCAAATTAAGTGTTTTCTTTTATAAGTTGCCTTGGTCATGGTGTTTTGTCACAGCAATAGCAAAATAACTAGGAAAGACCTGGAGGTAGGCAATGAACACAAAAAGGCAGTATCGGGAACCGGGGAATCCCAGCATTTGGGAGGTTGAAGCAGGAGGACTGCCATGAGCTTGAGGCTACTCTAGGTTGTACAATGAGTACTAAGCAGAGAGGGGCGCACAGTGACATCTTATCAAAAAGAAAAAGCAACAAATTAATGTCTTCAAAGGAATAAATCCCTCCTCCCATCTTTACCAGGTCAACCAAACACTCCGGTATCTCCGGGACTCTGTCGGGAAGTGGAGGCAAAACCATGATTTAGAAACTGGTCTGAGCTGCCGGGTGGTGGTGGCGCACGCCTTTAATTTCAGCGTTCGGGAGACAGAGGAAGACGGATCTCTGTGAGTTCCAAGACAGCCTGGGCTACAAAGTGAGTTCTAGGACAGCCAGGGCTACAGAGTGAGTTCCAGGACAGTCTCCAAAGCTACACAGAGAAACTCTTGTCTCGAAAAACCAACCAAACAAACAAACAAAAGAAGAAGAGGTGGAGGAGGAGGAGGAGGAGGA